GAGGGGAGAGGAAAGGGAAAGGAAAGAGAGAGAGAGAGAGAGAAAGAGGAAAGAGAGGGAGAGGAAAGAGGCATAAAATAATTCATTTGCATTTAATTGTAATGGTTCAAAGAATGTTCGGAAAAATGTTCGGCCCTCCAGCACGTTCACTTCATCCAATCTGGCCCTCTTTGAAAAAAGTTTGGACACCCCTGGTTTAGTGACTGTTCAAAGTTACAGTGGCACTGGAAAAAAAGTGACTGATGGACGTTTTTCACCCTTACAACCATCGCTGCGTTCCGTGGGCCACATGACAGAATCTGGACACTTGGCAGCTGGTTCATATTTATGACGGTTGCAATGTCCCCTGAGTTGTGTGATCACCTTTTTTGACCTTTTGATCAGCAAAGTCAATAGAGCAGCCAGATTCACATTACAACTGTGCTACTATCAACGGCAGTGAGTCACTTAACAACTGTGGCAATCAAGGCTATAAAAATGGGGGAAAGCTCTCTTAACTGTCTCACTCGGCAAAGGAAATTTTGGATTCAACTGTGGCCGTAGAATGAGGACTACCTGTAGTGAATATGTTAAAACGATGCCTCCCCCCAACGCCCCCTGGCCACAACTGGTGGATATTAGGCCAGTGCTTCCCTCTCATCCCCACAGCCAATGTGGGATAGCAGTGAAATGCTGGATTAGACTCAGACCAGCTTCTAGTCTACCTTCAGTCACAGGAGCCCCTCTCTTTCTGCCTACCCCACAGGGGTGTCGTCGTGTGGTCAAAATGAAATAAGATTCCCATTAACCTGGCTTGAGTTCCTGAGGGAAAAGTCAGATATAGTTCCTCTTGCTGGCTGGGGAATTCTGGGAGTTGAAGTCCACCCATCTTAAAATGGCCAAGGTTGAGAAACACCGGATTACACCTCTGTGGACTGTTTTGCCGAGCAGATCCCAGTCAGTTTCAGGCTGAATACAGGTAACCCTCGACATACAACAGTTCGTTCAGTGATTGTTCAAAGTTACAAGGCCCCTGAAAAAAGTGACTTACGACCGTTTTTCACACTTAAGGACCGTTGCGGCATCCCCATGATGATGTGATCCAGATTCAGATGCTTGGCAATTGGTTCACACTTGTGACCGTTGCTGTGTCCCGAAGTCCTGTGATCACATTTTGCAATCTTCTGACAGGCAAAGCCAATGAGGGAAGCCAAATTCACTTAACAGCCTTGTTGCTAACTGAAGAGCTGTATCGATTCACTTAACAACTGTGGCAAGAAAGATTGTAAGATGGGGCGAAATTCACTTAACAGATGTCTCCCTTAGCAACAGAAACTTTGGGCTCAATTGGGCTCGTATGTCGAGGACTACCTGTATTGGCTGGAAACTCCAAGGCTGAATCTACGAATGGCTCAATTTCTGCCATTAGTCATTGCAATGAGGCAGCAAATTCTGGCGGAAGGTCTCTTTCACAGGACGGGCTATTTTGGGAAACTGGGTTGAATTTCTGTACTGCCTGTTTACTCGCGGCCAAATGTTCGTTGCATAATTCATAGAAGCAGAATTGGACAAGACCTCAGAAGTAACAGAATAACAGTTGGAAGGGACCTTGGAGATCTTCTAGTCAAACCCCTTGCTCAGGCAGGAAACACTATACCATTTCAGACAAATGGCTGTCCGGTCTCTTCTTAAAGACTTCCAGTGTTGGAGCATTCACAACTTCTGGAGGCAGGTTGTTCCACTGGTTAATTGTTCTAACTGTCAGGAAATTTCTCCTTAGTTCTAGGTTGCTTCTCTCTTTGGTTAGTTTCCATCCATTGTTTCCTGTCCTGACTTCAGGGGCTTTGGAGAATAGCTTGACTCCCTCTTCTTTGTGGCAGCCCCTGAGATATTGGAAGACTGCTATCATGTCCCCCCTCGTCCTTCTATTCATTAGACTAGACCAGACATGTCAAATTCGCGACGTCACGTGACGTCGCGCAACGTATCGGATCTTTTTCGCCGTTGCCAGCAATGGGGTGGGCGTGGCTCCGGTATGATGAAACTGGCCCGCGGGCCGGCAGTTTGACACCCCTGGACTAGACATATCCAATTCCAGCAACCGTTCCTTATATGTTTTAGCCTCCAGTCCCCTAATCATCTTTGTTGCTCTTCTGTGTACTCTTTCTAGATTCTCGACATCTTTTTTACATCGTGGTGACCAAAACTGGATGCAGTATTCCAAGTGTGGCCTTACCAAGGCATTATAAAGTGGTATTAACACTTCATGTGATCTTGATTCTGGCCCTCTGTTAATGCCGCCTAGCACTGTGTTGGCTTTTTTGGCAGCTGCAGCACATGGCTGGCTCATATTTAAGTGATTGTCCACTAGGACTCTGAGATCCCTCTCACAGTTATTACTATTGAGCCAGGTACCCATTCACCCAGTCCAGTCCCCTGCTTGGTGCAGAATCTACTGAAACGTGTCACATAATTGCTATCAGGACCTCCAGTGAAAGGGGCCATACCTCATCACGAGCAACTGGTTCTGCTGCTTGACAATTCCACATCTCGGGACATTCTTCCCCCTAAAAAACTAAGCTTAAATGTGTTCCTCAGGAGTTTCAACCCTTTGTTCTGTCCTCCATTTGACATCTTCAAGTACGTGAAGTCTGCTACGGTATCTCCCTTCAGTTTTCTCTTCTGTGGAGTAACATACAAGGAGTCCTTGATTTATGACCCCAATTAAGCCCCAAATGTCTGTTGCTATGCGAGACAGTTGTTAAGTGAATTTTGCCCCATTTTACGACCTTTCCTGCCACAGTTGTAAAACAAACTGCAGTTGTTGAGTTAGCAACACAGTTGTTGAGTGAATCTGGCTTCCTTATTGGCCAAGAGCCTGCATGCAATGCAACTGTGGAGCATGGCAACCAAACTATAGCACATATAGTTCAAGAATATCCCCTCAGGAAATTTCAAGGCATCTGCGATGATCTCACCTCAGCTACACCAAAAGCAGTTAGATTAGGGGTCTTCAAACTTGGCCCTTTTATGACTTGTGGACTTCAACTCCCAGAATTCCTCAGCTAGGCATGCTGGCTGAGGAATTCTGGGAGTTGAAGTCCACAAGTCATTAAAGGGCCACGTTTGAAGACCCCTGAGTTAGATGGTTAGCTTCCTTAGATAACGAGTTATATCATCTATCCCATCTGGCTCCGTATTATTTCTTATCTTAATTTAATACTTTATCTCCATTGTGTGTGTGTGTTTGTATGTACACACACACAAACACACACAGAGGCATATAAATGTTTATTGATGCTTTAATTAAACTACATTTGTATATCAGAGATTGCATGACCTCTATAAATGCCATACACCGCATAAATAAATAAAAATTGACTTGGCTTGTCAGAAGGTTCCAATCGGTGACGACATGACCCCGGTGCACTGCAACCGTCATAAATATGAGTCAGTTGCCAAGCATCTGAATTTTGATCACTTTTGACCGTGGGGATGCCACAATGGTTGTATAAGTGTGAAAAACGGTCATAAGTCACTTTTTTCATTGCCATTGTAACTTCGAACCGTTACTAAACGAATGGTTTAGATTCACTTTACAACTGTCGTTGCTAACTGAACAACTGCAGTGATTCAGTTAAAGGTGGCAAGATGGGTCGCCAAAAATGGAGGCCAAAATGGAGTCGCTTAACAACTGTCTCGGCAACACGAATTGTGGGCTCAGTTGCGGTCGTAAGTCGAGGACTACCTGTAGCTGTAATGGTCTGTGAGAATGACCTTGGGAGACTAGTGGAAGAAAGCTGCGGCCTAGTCCAGTGTTTCTCAACCTTGACAATTTTAAGGCATGTGGAATTCTGGGAGTTGAAGTCCACATGCCTTAAAATTGTCAAGGTTGAGAAACACTGGCCTAGTCTGTCAGCCCCCAACCTTTCGGGCATCAGGGACCGGTTCTGTGGATAGATGGTTTTTTCTACGGACCAGAAGGGGACGTGGTTTCGTGTGCTGCCTGTATCCCTTAGATCAGGGGTCCCCAACTCCCAGTCCATGGCATGCCAGCAACCGGTGTGCAGAAAAAGCAAAGCCCCATCCGTTGGATGCAGGCAGCACACAAAACCACACACTCTCGGGTCTGTGGAAAAACCTTTCTCCATGAAACTGGTCCCTGGTGCCCAAATGGTTGGGGACCTCTGACTTAGATGGGGCTTCGCTTGTTTGTGTGGCCCGGTCTCTGGCATGCCATGGGCTGGTGCCAGTCCACAGACTGGGGGTTGGGGACCCCTGGCCTAGTCGATGGCCTGATAAATGAAATCTGAGTCGGAAGGAAGAGCGAGGATGGAGAAAGTATCCCAGAAGGAGCCATCTCTGGTTTTCACAAGAGTAAAAGGAAGGGAGGGGAGAGAGCTTGCAAGACTGTGTTACTGTAACCTTACAATAAGGGTAGTGTTAGTATTCATGGTTGGCGTTACTTGACTGGACTACCTCGAGCGACTGATGGGACCCGCTCTCAAAACACCCATTTCTCATGGGACTCTTTGCCTACCCCTGGGTTAACCCTTGTGCATCTTCATGTGAAGCCAGAGATCTTCGATGAAAGGGACTCAGTTCTTCCTTTCCTTGGGCTCCCTTTGCAGGTTCGGGTCTGGGTGTTCCCCGAGGGTACCAGGAATCACAACGGCTCCATGCTGCCCTTCAAACGGGGCGCCTTCCACTTGGCGGTGCAAACCCAGGTAAGGGGGTGCCCTGTGAACTCACCTTCTCTCCCCCTCCTCCAAGGGATGGCTGGCAGCTCTTTGCCAGATGCACCCAGCAAGGCTAAAATATTGGGGGGGGGGATTGGGCTTCATTGCTATTTGAGCCCATGAGCCCCCTTTCTTTCATTTTAAATTCAAAGTTGAGAAGGATTGATTTATGTCCATTTCTTCAATGGTGACTTCCTAGAAGTTAATAAAAAAAAAGAAAAGTTGATTCCAACAGACAACATAGCACTGATTACACAAGATAATCCACTATGCTTCAGACAAATAATGAGAAAAACCAGCCATATTAGGTGAAAGACATGGATTGCACTACAGTCAGGCCTTCAGCCTGGAAACAGATTTATTTATGCACTATTGAAATTTGGAAAAATTTGTGTGAAATGCATTAGAGTTAATATGAAATTTCATCTTGCCTTGCCTGGCTGAATGGCTGCAAATGAAGAAGGCCCTAGTCCCTTCTTGATATGAACCAGACTATCCCACTGAGCCTTTGGACTGTTATATATTATGTCAACACAACCATTGTGTTTGATTACCTTGTATTTGGTTTAACCCGGTTAGGCCTCTCCTGTGGCCCGACCATTGCACTGATTATCCTGGTTAGTCAGGCTTTTGCAAGCTCAGAGCAGGAACTGAGGGTTTAGATAGCTGCGACTATTCTATGTCTATGTGTGTGGTATGTGCGTATGTGACTTTGCAACAAGGTGGAAATCTGTCTTCATTTAGGGGGGGGTCCTATAGAGAAGAATGTCCCTGCCATTAGAAGCCCACCCGAGAAATGGTTTTTGAAATATGCTTTAGCCGGGCCCCACACATTTTGAAGCAATGTTTCTCTGTCTTGTTTATTTTGACGAAAAATTCCATTTCCTTTGTCGCTAGTTGTAAGAATTCTTTTTCTTCCAATATAGATTTATTCAAGGACCATCTTGATTTTTTCTTAGTTCCTTTCCTGTTAAATTTAAAGATGGAGGAAGAACAAGTAAAAGAAATGGTTTTTGAAATTCTTAGCGTGGGGAGAATTTTAATCGCCATTGTAAAAAAAAAATAAAAAATAGTTTTACCCTGAAGGCAAACTTAAGTCCTCCAGAGCTGAAATTCCCAGATGAGCTGAAAAGGGAGTAGATACTTCCTAAAAGACAGTGGCAGACAGTAGCAGATGACAACACAGAGTAAAATAGCCTTACTGTTACCTAGGAAAGGAGGGTTTTCGCACCCTACATTCTTCCCATTTTTATCAGAGCTAAAATAAATTGGACGAAGCAGGTTTGCGAAGCGTTTGACACCCCTGTGTGGTACCGACAGAAGAGATTATTTGTAACTCAAGAGTTGGAACTGTGACGCTCTCTGAGCTTGGCTGTTTGCTTGCAGACCATTTCATTACCCAACTAGGCATCAAGGAATCCAAAGCAGATTTGCTTGATCTGATAATGTTTGTTTAAAATTAAAAAACAACTGCGCGTAATATAAAAGAGAGTTTTACCTTCAATTAGATACAGAATGAAGGAAAAAAAGCTCTTGTCTTCACCGCCTTCCTTTAAAAAACAAAAATACAGGAACTTAAGCATTGTTTTGTTTTGTTTTAAACAGTTGCATCACACCCTGAGATCTGTTGAAATAACCTGTGTTATAAATGTGTTTACAGCTGAGCAATAAAACAAGCGGCTTGAACCCTGTGCAAAATGGGTAGGCAGAGACAGTGTCTTTAGAAATATTTTGCTGGATGTGCATTAAAAATACAAAGTGATTTGGAGGTGGTTTTCCGCCTTTAATGGCAGCTGGCGGTGGCTAGTCCCAGCCCAGCCTCTCTTTCAGGGGCAAAATGGTTGACATATATTGAGCAATTTCCAGCTGCTTACAGCCCTCTCTATTTACTTTCTTCTCTCTTCTCACAAGGTTCCTCTCATCCCTGTTGTAATCTCATCGTATAGAGATTTCTACAGTAAGAAGGATAGGCGTTTCACTACAGGTAACCCCATTTCTGATTTCTTGTTCGTTTGTGGGGAGCAGAACGACCTCCCACTGATACCAGTGAGCCTGGCTGTTTTCTGGTACTTTCCATCGTGGCTTTTACCTCAAGGTTATTATACCCACAGGCATAATGGAGACTATACAAGTAGCCCTCGGCTTAATGACCACAGTTGAGCCCAGAATTTCTCTAGAAAGAGAAGGCGATTCAGTGAAGCTTAAAAAAAAAAATAAATGAAGATTTATTTGGACTGTCTGTGACCTTTCTAATCCAGCTGCTTCTCAAGGATTCCAGGAAACAGTTTAAAAATAATCGAAATGTGACAAGTTAAAAACAAAACTTGGTACTGAAACGTCAGTCAACAATCCGGTTTGTCAAAAGAGAGAGGTAGTCCTCAGTTTGCAACCACAATTAAGCCCAAAATTTCTGTTGCTAAGCGAGCCAGTCGTTTGTTAAGTGAATTTTGTCCCGTTTTACAACCTTTCTTACCCAGGTCGTTAAGCGAATTGCTGCAGTTGTTAAGTTAGTAACAGGGTTAAGTGGATCTGGCTCCCTCATTGACTTTGCTTGTTAGGAGGCTGCAAAAGGGGATCACATGACCCCTCCAGGTCACTGCAGCTGTCATAAATATGAGTCGGTTGTCAAGTGTCCAAATTTTGATCAGGTGACCATGCTGCAGTGGTCATAGGTGTGAAAAACAGTCATAAGTTGCTTTTTTTCAATGCCATTGTAACTTTGGTGATTAAATGAATGGTTGTAAGTCAAGGACTATAGCAGAGGTGGAGAACTATGGCCCCGTTATGATTTGGGACTTCCTGGCTCAGGAATTCTGGGAATTAAAGTCCCAAGTCATAACGGGGCCATAGTTCTCCCCCTCTGGTGTAGTCCTTGACTTACAACCATTCGTTTAATCACCATTCGAAGTTACAATGACAGGAATTCTGGGAATTGAAGTCCACAAGTCACAACGGGGCCATAGTTCTCCACCCCTGGACTACATGTCCCTCTTTACACATTTGCTGAAGTGGGAAATGCCTTCGCTTACACTCTGGTGGGACCTTCTAGTTTATCTTGCTTTTTTCAAAAGCCCCGTCTTTCTCTCCTCATGCAGGACGCTGCATTGTCCAGATCTTGTCCTCCGTGCCCACAAAGGGGCTGCGAGCCGACGACGTGCCGGCCCTGACGGATCGGGTGCGCCAAGCCATGTTGGTTGCTTTTGAGGGGCTTTCCGCAGAGCTGGGTTCCCCGCAGTGACCTCCACCGCCGCTTCCCCCCAAGGTCTGGCCCAGGAGCACTGCGGGGTGCGACTGGGAGCAGCTGGCACCCACAGGCCATCAACCTGAAGATAACGGGACCAAGACAGAAGAGGGCAGCGCTCGGAGGGGAGGGGGGGGAAGAGGAATCGGAACCGGTTCTGGCAGAGAAGTGATGGGCGCAGCACCTTGCAGCAAAGGAGGGGGGCTTGAAATGGGTGGGGAGGGGGCTGGCTTCAGCCGCATGTGCAAGGAGACCTGGGAGCGGAGTTGATCCCAGCCACCCTCATTGCCCTCTTCACTTCTGGACCAGAGTTCTGACTCCCCCGGTAGATGGTACAGTCCTATCCCAGCCTCCATCTCCTCCTTGCTCCCCCCGTTTTGTTCATGTGGACTGTTCCATTTAAGTTTCTTGAACTTGGCCGGTGCCGCTCGCTCCCCATTCCGGGAAGTTTTTCCCCCGGGCTGAACCACGGACCCCACAGCAACTGAGCCACCCCTGGGAGCCTGCAGAGGGAGCCACGGACCAGGTTTTACCCTGGCTTGCTTCAAGGACCACCAGGGGAATTTTGGTGAACTTCAAACTCAGAGCAATGCCGTGGGCTGGCGATGCCCCAGCTGTTGGTGGGGCCTCTGTGTGCTGAGAACTCTGGACCCGCCATCGCCTGGGGAAGGAGAAAAAGAGAGGGAGCCACTCCGGGGAGGAAATTGCTAACCAACCCATCAGAACAATAGCAAAGGGCCTGGGCTGCTCAGCCTGACTCAGTCTCAATCATGGACCGGACTATTTCCTTCCAGGGAGGGGAAGGGAAGGAGAAAAGAAGGGGAAAATCTCCCTCTTTTACTTCCACCCGACAGGTGAAAAAGGAGCCGAAGGGATCTTCTAGGAGACAAAAGTAGAGTGAGATCCGCTTGGTTGTTTGTGGGTTTGGGTGGAAGATGGAGAGGGGAGGAAAAAGGATGGATTTGGGCGGGGAACGGGCAGAGAGTAGGATGTGGGGGCTCCGGGTTGCTTGCCTGCCATGCTTGGAAGGGCTGTTCCCCCCCCCCCCAATTCAGTGTTGGGAGAACACCTTAAACCCTCCTCTCCAAGGTGAAAGATGGCCTAATCAGGGGAGCTGGCATCGGTCTCCCGATGGAAAGGGCAGGAAGCCTTGAGTAGGGAAGGAAAGGGCAGGGTGAGCAGGCAGGGCTTGTCCCCAGGCCAAATTAAGCAGCGAGGGTTGCAAAAAGCAGGGGGGGGGGTTTCCGGCCTCAGGCTGGGGCCTCTGGGCCAGGTATTATGGGACGGGATGGAATTAACACAGGGAGGGGTGGGGTGCCTCCTGCATATCTGATAAAGCTTGAGGGGGAGCATTGGCATCCTGAGAGCAACCGGGGAGGGTGTTTGCGACCGGGCCTTTTGGGGAGAAGAGGAAACCAGGAAGAAGAGGAAATTGTTGCCCCTTCCGGGACGAGAGATCAAGAGATACAGAGGTGCTGAATCAGGGACGACTAGACTGATTTTCGTGGGGTGGTGAGCTTTGCAGTTCCTTGAAATATTCCGTGTACTTCTCTTCTGCCTTCGGATTTTCCATGAAGGTTTCTGTCCTCTCCCTCAAATGGTGGGTGACCCCGGGGGGAGGGGGGGGGCTTTCTTTCCTCTTTCCAGACGCTCCTTCTTGGGGGAGGAGAAAAAAAGAGTTTCCATCTGGGGAGGGCTGAAGAGTGAAGAGACGTTATTATCAAAGTCCGTGTTCCCAAGACCTTCCTGCTTTTAATAAAAACCCTCGAAAATTAATCTCCCTCACAGGTGCTTGTCTTTTCCTCAGTCTTTGTAACTGATTGGCAAGGAGTGTGTGTGTGTCTGCACTATCATGTCTGCCCTGTCGGGAGCTATTTAGGGCAGGGCTTTTCAATCTTTTCACCCATTGTACCACTTTTAGGATATGGCAACATCTGAGTACCACCAATCACCTAGCAAGGTGTCAAAAACTTGATGACCCAAAAAAAAAAAAAGGAAAAAAGTGATAAAGTACAGCTAGTCCTCGACTTACAACAGTTCGCTTAGTGACTGTTCGAAGTTACACCGGCACTGAAAAAAGTGCCCCCCCCCAAGCCACAGCCGAGCAAGACGCCTGCCCGCCCGGCGGCGCTCTTCCTCCTGTCCGAGGTTTTCATTGTTGTGAGTATTTCTGTTGAGGATTGGCAGCGGGGGTGGGGGGTGTTCAGTTTTTATTCCCCCCGTCTGCTGGGTGGTTGCAGCAGGTTTTGGTCACTTCACATGACCCTGGGACACTGACCGTCATAAATATGAATCAGTTGCCAAGCATCTGAATGTAAATCACAAGACCCTGGAGAGGCTGCAACATTCCAGCTGATCGGCGCTTCTTCTGGGCTCAGCGGAAGTGCCAGGATCAGCGCCGAGCTCTAGCTGGAGCCTGGCACTGATCCTGGCGCTTCCGCTGAGCCCTGACAGCCCTTCAGCTCCAGCCGTCTCTCGCTCAGGCTTGTGCGGTGCTGTCACCAGTTCAGCTCATTCCCCTCCCCCACTACCACTTTTCTAGGTACCACAGGTGGTACCCGTACCACTGGTTGAAAAGCCCTGCTTTAGAGCATTGTTTTTCAAATTTGGCAACTTTTAAAGTCTTGTAATCCAGCCAGGGAATTCTGGGAGTTGAAGTCCACAGGACGTATTATTATTACAATGTTTTTTACCTCAAAACTGGTGTGTACTTCCAGTTTCTGGCCAAAATAAATAAATAAAAATCCTCCCTGGTGAACAATGAGCTTGTTTAACAACCAGTGTTCGCTTAACGACTGCTGCATTTCCGTTTAATTGTCAAAAACAAGGTCATGAACTTGGATGTGGTCACATGATAACCTCCTTAACGACCATCACAACTTAACAACCGTAATTGCAAGCTCAATTGCAGTTGCAGTCAGACACAATTTAGTACAATAAAATAAAATTAAATTTTGGGAACAGATAGCAAACTACAATAAATCAGACGTGTGTGTGTTTTTCTTGGGATGATCCGACGATACACGGGCACTTGCAGTTTGTCAATCCATAACTTGGAATATTCCAAATAATATTTTGAAGAAAGGCATGATTTGGATTCAACAGAACTAAGGCCTCCTGAGATTTTGTCCTAATTGAAGGTGATCTTTTCCCACTAGATTCCTTTTGTTGAGGTGGAAAAAACTTATCCTTTAAAACTTCCTGTTCAGGAGCAGTATAGCTAGTATAACTAAATCTGTGATTTGAGGACCATTGATGATCCATGAAGACATTGCAAATGGTCCTAGGGTGGGCACTAAAATAAAAAAGATGAATGAAAGAGGCCAAAATCTCACAAGATTGTTTTCTTTCCAAAATTGCAAGAGATTTTGATTGGAACACTAAAACCTCTTGAAATTTGATGATCCTACAAGATTCGGTCATTACATTTAGAAAAAAATAATAATTTTAGAGTCCTGTTTTGTTTCCTCAGAGTCAGCATATTGCCCTCAACAATCTGGCTCCTCATTTTACCGACCTCAGAAGGATGGAAGGCCGAGTCAACTTTGAGCTGGTCAGGATTGAACTGCTGGTAGTCGTGGGAGTTAGCCTGCAGTACTGCATTCTAACCACTGTGCCACCTTTGTAATGTAAATATAGAAAATTTGGGAACTGCTTGAGTATATCATAACTCATAGTTTACAACAGTGTTTCTCAACCTTGACAATTTTAAGGCATGTGGACTTCAACTCCCAGAATTCCACAGCCAGCATTTCTGGCTGTGGAATTCTGGGAGTTGAAGTCCACATGCCTTAAAATTGTCAAGGTTGAGAAACACTGGTTTACAAACTATAGTGAAAAAGCCCAAATCAAGTAAATTTCATTAGATTTTAAGATAGCCAGCACATTATGCACTTGATTTGACTTAACACATAACACAAATGCAGTTATTGTGGTTTGTTAACTGTGCTTTCTGGTTTAATGTATTGTGTGAATACAGCCTCTATCTTAGGCTGTTTATATGCTATATGTGACCAATGTTTGTGCCAGATGCAGCATTAGCCAAGACATCCTGTTGGATTATGGGAGTTGAAGTCTTACACACCAAAAGCCAGCAGTGTGCAGCAGCAGCCAAAAAAGCTAATACAATCCTGGGTTACATAAACAGAGGCATAGAATCAAGATCATGTGAAGTATTAGTATTATATAAAACTCTAATAAGACCACACCTGGAATACTGCAGCCAATTTTGGTCACCATATCACAAATTTTTTTTTTGAGAGTTTGGGAAAAAATTCAGAGAAGAGCAACTAAGATGATGAAAGGCCTGGAGACTGAAACATACAAAGAACCAGGGCTTTTTTTCCCATAGAACGCCCAGAACGGAGTTCCGGCACCTTTTTTGGATGGAACCTTATAGGGTAGGCAAGGCGGGTTGTATGACGTGTAAGTTCCGGCACCTTTTTTTTTTAGAAAAAAAAGCACTGCAAAGAACGACTGCAGGACTTGGATCTGGCTAATCTAAAGAAAAGAAGAAATAGGGGAGCCGTGATAGCAGTGTTCCAGTACTTCAGGGGCTGCCACAAAGAAGAGGGGGTCACGTTATTCACCAAAGCACCAGAGGGCAGGACAAGAAACAATGGTTGGAAACTGAACAAAGAGAGAAGCAACCTGGAATTAAGGCAAAACTTCCTGATAGTGAGGACAATTAACCAGTGGAACGGCTTGCCTCCAGAAATCGTGGGCGCTCCATTAACTGAAGATTTTTAAGAAGAGGCTAGACAATCACCTGTCTGAGATGGTATAGGTCAGTGATGGCGAACCTTTTAGAGACCGAGTGCCCAAAAACTGGCCCCGCCCCTGCTCCACCTCCTGCCCCGCCCCTGCTCCACCCCTACCCCGCCTGCCCGTAGGGCCACTCACCGCCTCCAGGGCCTGCCACAGATCGCCCAGCAGTGCCATGGCCATGCCCTCTGCCCGCGCTCCGCAGCATCAACTACGTGATGGGGCGTGAGGGCAAAGTCTTGTCTACGCTGCTGGCTGCCATGTCCTTGGCTGCACTGCTCCACGTGGGCCACACTCGGGGGCGACTCTCCTCCGGGGGGCTGCTGGTGAGGAGGGGGTCACGGGGGGAGGCAAGGCTGGGGCAACGGCACGTGTGCCCACTGAGAGGGCTCCGAGTGCCGCCTCTGGCACCCGTGCCATAGGTTCGCCACCACTGGTATAGGTTCTCCTGCTTGAACAGCGGGCTGGACTAAAAGACCTCCCAAGTTCCCTTCCAGCTCTATTCTATTCTAAAAAAGGTACATCTTGAGGATAATCAGTAATGTAGAAGACAATTGCCTGCAGCTGAAGAGATCAGTTGCAAGTCACTCTCTAAAATAGGCTTTAATCTGGTGGTTTAAATATTAGGACTACAACTTCAAGAATTTTGAACAAACCCAGCCATAACGGTTCTGTGGTTAATAATAACATGAATTATGCCATCGTACGTTGTTAAATCCAGCAATTTTATTTATTTACTTGCATTTCTAATTTCCATTTTTTTATGGCTGCTCACCCACACTTGGCTTTAGGCAGTTTAAAAGAGTTAAAAACAAGAAGTTAAAAGAAGAACAAAAACAGCCCACCAAGGTAACAAGCCCATCACAACTCAAAAGTTGTTTGCCATCATAATTCAATTGACTTGTTGGGTCTTTTTTTTTAAAAAAAAAAAACTTGATTTAGTAAGTCTAAAAAAACTAGTATCGATGAATTCTAGTGTGACTGGGAAGAACAGGAACAGCAGGGAAACTTCCTGATTAAAATTCAGTGTTCAGTAACCAAATAAAAATATGCAAAAAAGATAGATCTTCGCGAGAATTAAGTCCTTTCAAACCCAAAGAAGAAGTTTAGACACACAAGCAATTCCTTTAGAGCAGGGGTAGTCAACCTTGGCTCTTTTATGACTCGTGGACTTCAATTCCCAGAATTCCTGAGCCAGCTAAGCTGGCTCAGGAATTCTGGGAATTGAAGTCCACGAGTCATAAAAGAGCCAAGGTTGACTACCCCTGCTTTAGAGTAACTTTCTGCAGGCTGGCTGGGGATTTTGGGGAATTGTAATCCCACTTTCTGGAAGGGATTGAGGAGGGCAGAGGTCTGTTAGCACAAAGTGGCCTGTTTACACAACTCACCAGAAAGGAAGTTGAAAAACATGACAAAGAGGCACGGATCCCTCACGTGAATGGCATGTACATTTCAGTAAGGAAATGTAATGAGGAGAAAAAAATTAAAGAGGTATCAAAACTCTGTTGGCTTAACCTGATTTCTTGAATCCATTTTGGAGCTCCATCAGAACCCAAGGAGCCGGGCTTGTAGAATATACCAAATCGCCAATTTCCCATCCCATCCTGAGGTTAAACTTGCCAAAGTCTTTAAAACAATGTTTCTTTCTCCCACTAAAGCAGCCAAAAAGGCTTAACTCTGGATGGACGCCACGGCCTGTCACGGGGGTGGGGGGGACCATCTGGAGGTTTCGATGGGATTTGAAGGCAGCCTTTGTTCTGTAATTAATCCAGCAGAGTTGCAGCCCACTGTGCTTGGTTTTCAATTAATAAGCCATGCCCACTAGCATAAATAAAGGAAATTAATTTGAGCTTCGAACGACAAGGAGCACCAGCGCGGAGTTAGGAGGGAAAAGATAACGCTGGTTTTCTGCCGATCCAGTTTTGAGTCCCAAGATTCGGGCATCACCGGGTGAGATCGTAGCCAAAGCCATTTTTATCATTTTGACAGGCACCTGCGTGTAAAGACACCAAAGGAAACAATGAGGCCTAGGAACTGAAAATATTAGCTTAAGAATGAAACCAAACCAAGCTTTATTTTGGAGAGGGATTTGATCTGCGCCCGGGCTGTGCCTGCACCGGAGCTACTATTAACGCAATACTGTAGTGAAATGACTCCCAATTGTTTAATAAAGCCACTCAAAGCTGTGGTTTCTGAAAGGCAAGTAATCTTTTGATGAACCAGAATGGACTTCACCAGGCAGATGAAATGTTTGCCTTCATCAGCCAATCTAAGGTGAAGCGAGCAATTGGATAGGACAGGTTGACCCACGCAATTTCAAGTGAGTCTTCCGCTAGTAATAGCAGTATATGTCAGGGGTGTCAAACTCAATTTCATTGAGGGACGCATCAGCATTGTGGTTGCCCTCAGGGCCGGGTGGTGTGGCCAGGATGGGTGCGGCCTACTGGGTGGGCGTGGATGGGGTGGGTGTGGCCTACTGGGTGGGTGTGGCCAGCTCTACATAGTTCGCGTCAAGGGTGCCTGTGGGGGCCTGGGCAGGAGTGGGACAGATCTGAGGGTCTCTGGCAGAAGGGGGTGGGACCAGGGCAAGCGCCAAGGCATGGTCCACTGGAGGAGCCTCACTGTTCCTCTCAGGCCATGCGGGGGGGGGGCTTATGGAGCTAAGAGTGAATGCGTTTCAGCATAGATGGCCACCACAAAATTGTACATTGGCTCCCGGCTGGCCTGGGCCAGGGCCGAGGCAGAGGGGGCCGTTCCCTCACTGATTCCAGGATGGCTTCACGGGCCACATGAAACACACTTCGCGGGCTGCATCCGGCCCCCGGCCTTGTCTTTGACATGTCTGGTATACATAGTCCTCAACTTACAACAGTCTATCTCTCCTAGGATTGCTAGCCCTGTGACCAACGGTCAAGGCAATGAGAGTCAGGAGTCTAACATCAGCTGAATTATTGTAACTTTCCCTCCAAACCCAAACCAGAAAGTAGTAAGGCCTGAACCAGGGACTGGGTGTGTGTTTAAGGCTTGGATTCTCTCACAAAATTGCCAACCCACAAGGCAGCTAACGTAGGTTGTCCTCGACTTAACAACCACAATCGGGACTGGTTCTACCGTCACTAAGCAAGATAGTCATTAAGCGAGTCGTGCTCAATTTTATGACCTATTTTGCTCATTAGGTAAGTCACTGCACTATTAAATGAATCCAGCTTCCCCCGTTCACTTTACTTGTCAAAAACCAGCCGTAGAGTCAGAAATGACGGTCAGGTGGCCCCGATATGCTGCAGCCATCCTCAATACACGACGGTTGCCGAGTGCCCTAATTTTGCTCATAGAGCCACGGGGACACTGCAAATGGTAAATAAATCTGAAGACTATCGTGTTTTTTTCAGCGCCATTGTAACTTTGAATGGTCACTAAACGAGTGATTGTTAAGTCGAGAACTGTCTGCAATTATTTGTGGGTAGGGTTTTTCCAGTTGCAATGTATGGATGTGAAAGTTGGACCATAAGAAAGGTTGAGCGACAAAGAATTGAGGCCTTTGAACTATGGTGCTGGAGAAGACTCCTGCGAGTCCCCTGGACTGCAAGGCGTTCAAACCAGTCAGTCCTAGAGGAGATCAACCCTGACTGCTCTTTAGAAGGCCAGATCCTGAAGTTGAAACTCAAGTACTTTGGCCACCTAATGAGAAGGAAGGACTCACTGGAGAAGAGCCTAACGCTGGGAAACACTGAGGGCAATAGAAGAAGGGGACGACAGAGAATGAGGTGGCTGGATGGAGTCACCGAAGCAGTAGGCGTGAGCTTAAATCAACTCCAGAAGATGGTAGAGGACAGGAAGGCCTGGAGGAACGTTGTCCATGGGGTCGTGATGGGTCAGACATGACTTCGCAATTAACAACAACAACAACAAGGGTTTTTCAATACTCACAGTCTCCCAGTTTCTCCTCCAGAAAAAGGAGCTGCTCGCTGAGGGATTCCACGTGGTCTAAATAACGAAGACGATTCCACATCTCCTTGATCTGGGTGGGCTCCACAGAGGTTGGCAAGATAGAGATGGCAAGCTCCAGGCGCTGAGAAAGGGGAAAGGCCCAAGTCACTTATTAAGAATCAGGTACTACCTTGGCTTGAGAAGCTCCAAGTAACTTTCAGAACTGTTCCTCTGATTTTTTTTTTCCACCTGCAACTCCACCTATGGAGTAGATAGGGTGAGTTGAGAATATGGTGCCGGATTTAGAGAGTTACCATGGCTTAGGATTGGTCTAGAACAGAGCTGGGGCACTGTGGCCCCCTTTATGGTTTGTGGACTTCAACTCCCAGAATTCTTGAGCCAGCATGGCTGACTCAAGAATTCTGGGAGTTGAAGTCCACAAGTCATAAAGGGACCATAGTTCCCCACCCCTGGTCTACAACCTGCATCTTCTTACTTCTAGCTCAACCCCTTCACTATTTCACCATACTGGTTCTGGGGTGAAAGAGAAATGGGGGGACTGCTTCAAAGTCCCTCAGAGTTCCTTTGGATAAGGAGATGGACAGCATATAAATTTAACACATAAATAAAATAATAAATAGAGAGTAGATCCTTGCTTGTACAGGGGTACCTTAGCCACTACACACACTGTCCATCTTGGAAATGCATAATTCTCACCCTGAAGTTCTACCACTTTTTTAAAAAAAAAATGCATTTATACCTACCCTTTCGTCTTTTTCAACACTTAAAACAGCTTCCAACAATGAAAAGTACTAAGGATCAAACAAACTAATAGTGGGCTATATATTCCTCCAGGCAAACGGGGGGGTGGGGTGAAAAATGGACATGAATGTTCACCAAAGATGATTTGGTTCTAGGGGAAAGATGTGTTGTTACTCTCTTCCTAATACCAGGAAAGGACAATACCTGTAGGAGCCTGTGCCACACCTGAGACCCACTGAAGATCCTTTCCCTCATATCATTAATGCTTATCATTAATGCCTCATTAATGCATATCATTAATGCTTATCATTAATGCCTCTCCTACCAATTAAAATAGGCTGGTTCTTAGCAGCAGAGGCAGTTCTGCCATACAGTAGACCAGGGTCTTCAAACTTGGCCCTTTTTATGACTTGTGGACTTCAACTCCCAGAATTCCTCAGAATTCTGGGAGTTGAAGTCAACAAGTCATAAAAGGGCCAGGTTTGAAGACTCCTGCAGTAGACCTTGGCTTATGACCAGTTGCTTAGCGACCAAGGTTACAACAGATTTACCTTGGGACTACTTACAACTTAGATTCAAATCTGCAATGGTTGCCATCCCCTCACCCCCCCGACCATATTCTATGATGATTTCCCCCCCCCAAAAAAACCCCAGCATTTACTTCCAGTTTACTTACAGTTTTCAGCCAAGCCAAGCCCATAGCAAAACAGGAACAACCGCCGCATTCGTTTAACCACCCCAAAAAAGGTCATAAAATTTTGCAACCACCACCACTTACTAACCATGATGGGCAGGGCTCCATTATGGTCATAAGTTGAAAACTACCTGTGTAGGAGTGACTTCCATCGGTCCTTGCACTTATCACCATCACCCCTGGTCCAGGATTGAAATTTGGTCCCTTGGCAACCGGCACATACATTGTAACGCTTACAGCATCCAGTGGTCATGTGATCGCCATTTACAACCTTCCCAGTTGGCTGTCGACAAGCGAAGTCAATGGGGGAAGCTGGATTCGCTTCAGCACCACAGAATTTACTTAACAATTGCGGTGATTCGCTTAGCAACCACGACCAAAAAGGTTGTAAAATCGGGTTCAACTCATGTGACAACTGCCTTGCTTACAAATGGACCTTCTGATTCCAATTTTGGTCATAGGTCAAGGACTGCCTCTATTTATCTGGAAAAGAAATAAAGTCTGAGAGTTTTAGAGCCAAGCTTGGCAACTTTAATTCCTGTGGCTGGCTGGGGAATTCTGGGAATTGAAGTCCACAGGTCTTAAAGTCACCAAAATTGGACATCCCCAGTTTAGAGCAATATTGTTCCATCTTGGTGTCTTCAAGATTGTGTGGGCTTCAACTCCATGCTGGCTGGGAGGATTCTGGGAGGAGAGGTCAGCACTTCTTAAACTTCTCAAAGCTGAGAAACGCTGCTCCAGACAGTAATACAAAGATTTTAGAGAATGGGACTCACCTCTTCCAGCTGTTCTACTTTTGCTTGGAGTTCCTGGATCTCATTGGGAATTGTCTCCTGAATCCCTAAAGTTTGCACTGCAAGAGAAACATGAAGAAAATGTGAGTTGAGCTGTATCAAAACAGGTACATGGATTGTTTTTATCTATGGAGAGTTGACAGTTCTTAACCTGGTTTCAGGACCCCGCAAGTGTGAGTTTTATCAAACCTCAGACTCGCTGATCCCATGTGAGTTTTATCAAACCTCAGACTCGAGTGCTCCATTTTCTTGCAAATATATTTAGAATTGCTTCGATTTTTTTTGGCAAAGCAATTTGATTTCTCTGTCATTTTTATGACCAAGCGGCGCCCTCACTTCCTTCTGAGAATCAAAAGCCTCTGGAGGAAAAGCAGACTAGGAAACTTAACAAAACAATAATGTATACACAAGCTTTGTGAAATCTTAGGGGCTAGAAACTTGTTTCCGCAAAAGAAAACAGGTTCTTCAACTACTACGCTCAACACCCAGTCAACCTTATTTATGGAGCAGTTGCAAATTACACAAGTCTAACAATATCCAACTGTAATGTGAAACTCTCAACTCTATTGCTGGCAAAGAGCGTTTCCTTTTTGTATGGAGAAAAGTTGTGAAACTGAATGCATCACCTTCTCACCACATTTCGGCCCTCATCTGCACCTCAGTGCAACCAAAGAAGAATTGGGTATGTCTAGTTTAATGAAGAGAAGGACCAGGGGAGACATGATAGCAGTGCTCCAATACAGTATATCTCAGGGGCTGCCACAAAGAAGAGGGAGTCAAGCTATTCTCCAAAGCGCCTGAAGGCAGGACAAGAAGCAACAGATGGAAACTAACCAAGAAGAGAAGCAACCTAGAACTAAGGAGAAACTTCCTGACAGTTAGAACAATTAACCAGGGGAACAACCTGCCTCCAGAAGCGGTGAATGCTCCAACACTGGAGGTTTTTAAGAAGAGACTGGACAGCCATTTGTCTGAAATGGTATAGAGTTTCCTGCCTGAGCAGGGGGTTGGACTAGAAGACCTCCAAGGTCTTTTCCAACTCTATTATTATTATTATTATTATTATTATTATTATTATTATTATTATTATTATTATTATTATTATTATTTAGACATGAACCTCAGTCAACTGAACATTCAAATTGACTGGCACTGATGGTTGACACCAGTTGCTGCCAGCATCCTAGGTATCAACCAGGTACTCCTTAAAATGTAAGATGTTCTGAGTAGCACAGTTTTTGTAGCATTATATTATTATTATTATTATTATTATTATTATTATTATTATTATTATTATTATTATTATTATTATGGATCATCGCACAGTCAGCCAGATGTTCAGACTGGATTTGGCATTTTGTCTACCTATCGAGTCCTTTCCCAGGACCTGGGATTATTATTATTATTATTATTATGGATCATCGCACAGTCAGCCAGATGTTCAGACTGGATTTGGCATTTTGTCTACCTATCGAGTCCTTTCCCAGGACCTGGGATAGGCAGATGTGGATGTTTGATGGTATTACAGATATCGTCGCAGGATGGAAGCAGTTCCTAGTAAGGCCGCCTTTTGCAATTGACTAATAGCGAANTTTTCTATGACTTTCTCTATTTTATGATCCCACCAGTTTTTGCTTACAGGCAAATGATATTTCTTGCAGATCTTCCAATGCACCATTGTTGCTACTTTGTCATGCCGCTGCTTGTAGTCAGTCTGTGCAATCTTCTTGCAGCAGCTTACCAGGTGGTCCACTGTTTCTTCAGCTTCTTTGCACAGGCGGCACTTACTGTTTGTTGCTGTCTTCTCAATTTTGACTTTGTATGCATTTGTCCTTAAGGCTTGGTCTTGTGCAGCCAGAATTAGACCCTCGGTCTCTTTCTTCAATTTTCCTGCTCTTAGCCATTGCCAGGTCTTGTTATTATCTGCTTTCCCAGCTATTTTTTTTATGTACTGGCCATGTAGTGCTTTGTCTTCCCATGTCTCTATTCTGTTCTTCATTTGGTCTTTCTTGTAGGCCAGTTTGGTCTCTCCAGTAGTCAGTAAGCCTTCCTGATATATTAATTTCAGTGCATCTTCATCATTGTCCTTCAGATATTCTTCCAAATATTATTATTATTATCATCATTATTATTATTATTATTATTATTATTATTATTATCATTATTATTATTATTATTATTATTAAGCAACAGATGCAGCCTGGGTTGTCATAACTCTTGTTGTGCAGCTAAATGACACAGACCAGAGTGTTTAAAACAAGAACAAGGTGATGCCTGCAGTGTCAAGGTTCCAATTGACGAACCCAACCAAGCAAATACATTTGAGACATTTTGATCTCTTAATGTAAAATTTTATTGAGTACATCACTTCAGCACTACTGAAAGCACAGTTGCAAAGCTTTCTAGGGTTCGCAAATTTCTACCGCCAGTTTATCCCATCCTTCGCAAAAATCGCCTTGCAGATCCCGGAGCTTTCAAAAACGAGGCGGGGGGGGGGGGTAAACCCCGACCCAGCAAGCCATTGAACTGGACATTGGAATGCCAAACAGCGTAAACAGATCATGCCAAACTAATCTTATTTCATTCTTTGATAAAGGGACTAAATTAATAGACCAGCGAAACGCTGTGGACATAGTGTGCCTAGATTTCAGAAAAGCATTCAACATAGTAGACCACGATCTACTGCTTGGTAAGCTAGAAAAAGGTGGAATAGACAACCTCACCACCAGATGGCTTTGTAGCTGGCTGACAAACCGTACTCAATGAGTAGTCCTCAATGGTACTACATCCACATGGAGAGAAGTAAGCAGTGGGGTATCACAAGGTTCCGTCTTAGACCCAGTATACTCTTCAATATCTTCATCAATGACTTAAATGAGGGAATTGAAGGGGAACTCAACAAATTTGCAGATGACACTAAACTGGCAGGAATAGCCAACACCCCAGAAGACAAGCTCAGGATTCAAAAAGATCTTGACAAATTGGAACAATGGGCCCCATCCAACAAAATGAGTTTTAATGTGGAGAAAAGCAAAGTTTTACATTTAGGCAGGAAAAGTCAAAGGTATAAGTACAGATTAGGCGAGACCTGGCTCAAAAAGAGTAACTGTGAGAGGGACCGTGGAGTCCTAGTGGACGATCACTTGCTATCAGCCAGCAATGTGCAGCAGCAGCCAAAAAAGCTAATACAATTCTGGGTTGTATAAACAGAGGCATAGAATCAAGATCATGCGCAGTATTAATACCGCTTTATAAACCCTAGTGAGACCACACCTGGAATACTGCAACCAATTTTGGTCACCATACTACAAAAAAGATGTTGAGACCTTGGAAAAAGTTCAGAGAAGAGCAATTAAGATGATCCAATGGCTGCAGGTTTGGCTAGTCTAAAGAAGAAATAGGGGTGACATGATAGCAGTATTCCAGTATTTGAGAGGCTGCCACAAAGAAGAGGGGGGTCACGTTATTCACCAAAGCACCAGAGGGCAGGACAAGAAACAATGGTTGGAAACTGAACAAAGAGAGAAGCAACCTAGAATTAAGGAGAAACTTCTTGACAGCGAGGACAATTAACCAGTGGAATGGCTTGTCTCCAGAAACCGTGGGAGCTCCATCACTGGAGATTTTTAAGAAGAGGCCAGACAGTCACTTGTCTGAGATGGTATAGGACAGGTTCTCCTGCTTGAGCAGGGAGTTGGACTAGAAGACCTCCAAAGTGTTGTGATTCCGTGCCAGCCAGTGGACGGACCCGGCAACTGAGTCCGGAAAATCAGAGGAGAAGGAGGAGGAGGGGCCTGGAGAGCCATCAGAGTTGGAGGAAGGCTCTGATGAGCTCCAGGACTTATAATCTGATGACGAGCCTGGCCCCTCCACTCGTGCTCAGGCTGAGACCCAGCTGTACTGGGCAGCTGAGTCAGGCTCTGAGGACTCACAGCTGGAAGACATCATAGACGCTCGCAAATGCAGACAGGCAACAAGAGCAGGACAGAGGGAGGCAATGGGATGACTCCAAGGGAGGAGGAGAAGGCATTGAGAACCCATGCCTTGGGGCTGCATAATAAAAAGGGAAGGTGTGGGCGGTGCTGGTTGCTGAAGGCAACCATTTGCAAAGGACACAAGTTTCATGTTTTGTTTGAATTGCCTGTGAACAATTCTCCGTTTGAATTGTGTTCTGTTTGCCTTGGGACAATTCTCCGTTTGCGTGTTTTCTTTGCCTTTGCTTTTGCGACATTTTGCAGGCCTGTACTTAATTGATAAAAGGGGTTTGTTTTTCCTGCATTTCCAGCCTACTTGTTAAAAGAGGGGTTTATCCTTGTGAGTTAACAAGGATTCACATAGGCTGGGACAGAACACAAGGTCCCAGTTCTATTCTATTCCTGAGACTGTTTGCTGCGGAACCTGTGCTAAAGCATGGCATTCGGTGCCCTTTGAGATTCTCTCTTGTGCAGCTCCATGATAGCGCTGGGTGTTTCTGCCATTTCCTCCTGTGTCATACATCAACCAGAAGCTGTTTGCTGAGTCCAAAGGAAAGTCTCAGCTGTTGGGCGAGGTTCTGCTCTGTCGTGAGATGAGGATGTGAAAGTTGGTAGAAATATGAAACACGCACTGCTAAGCAACTGTCAGCCGCTTCGGAGTTTCACTAACACTTCAGCCATGCAGAAAAGGAATTCAAAATACATTCCCAAGGTTACCAGCTGGCTGTTGATGGCCCACACGAGATGGTTCTCCTAAAGCAGGGGTAGTCAACCTTGGTTCTTTTATGACTCGTGGACTTCAACTCCCAGAATTCCTGAGCCATGCTGGCTCAGGAATTCTGGGAGTTGAAGTCCACGAGTCATAAAAGAGCCAAGGTTGCCTACCTCTGTCCTAAAGCAAAGGTCAAGATATACAGAATGGATGGACAGAAGCCATCCGGTTGGGCAGGCAACAGAAGTTTTATTTCAGCCATCGGGAATGATTAACATTAATAATTAGCAGAGGCATTGAATCAAGATCACGTGAGGTACTAATACCACTCTATAAAGCCTTAGTAAGACCACACCTAGAATATTGCATCTACTGTAGTTTTGGTCACCACATTATTAAAAAAAATGTTGAGACTCTAGAACGGGGGTGAAAAACTTGTGGACTTCAACTCCCAGAATTCCTGAGTCAGCATGGCTGGTTCAGGAATTCTGGGTATTGAAGTCCACAAGTCATAAAGGAGCCAAGGTTGCCTACCCCTGACTAGGGCCTTCACCAGATACCCTCCCCCATCCCTAGAATGCCCTTGTTTTAACAACTGTACTGTTTTTAACCCTTGTTACAGGCAGTCCTCGACTTACAGCCGTTCGTTTAGTGACCGTTCGAAGTTACACCGAAAAAAGTGACTTACAACCATTTTTCACACTTACCAACATTGCAGCCTCCCCCAGGGTCACATGATCAAAATTCGGAACCTTGGCAACTGACTCACATTTATGACGGTCGCAGTGTCCCGGGGGTCCTGTGATCCCCTCTCTTGTGACTTTCTGACAAGCAAAGTGTCATAAAAGGGCCAAGTTTGAAGACCCCTGCTCTAAAGGAAGTTTCTCTAGGCTAGAGTTTGTTGGCTTTGCAAATTTCAAGTGATCCAGTACAGGTAGTCCTTGATTTACAGCAGTTCGTTTAGTGACCATTCAAAGTTGAAAACCATTCATAAGTACTGAAAAAAGGGACTTATGACCATTTTTCATAGTAGCATCCCCATGGTCATGTGATCCAAATTCAGGTGCTTGGCAACTGGTTCATATTTATGATGGCTGCACTGTCCCAGGGGTCATGTGATCCTCTTAGTTTATGGTCGTAAGTTGAGGACTACCTGTACATTGCTCCTCTTTCTCATCCTCTTTTTCTCCTTCTCCCATTTGCCCAATTTGTGTGCTGCCCCTCCCCAGAATTTGTGTGCTGCCCCTCCCCCTGTGGATTTACACAGCACTCTAGCCACAGCTGGCTAGGAAATTCTGTAAGATGGAGTCCCCAGACTACTACTACTACTACTACTACTACTACTACTACTACTACTAATAATAATAATAATAATAATAATAATAATAATAATAATAATAATAATAATAATAATAATAATAATAATAATAATAATAATAATAATAAAGCTGGAAGGGATCTTGGAGGTCATCTAGTCCAACCCCCTGCTCAGGCAGGAACCCTACACCATTTCAGACAAATGGCTGTCCAGTCTCTTTTTAAAAACTTCCAGTGTTGGAGCATTAACCGCTTCTGGAGGCAGGTTGTTTCACTGGTTAATTATTCTAACTGTCAGGAAGTTTCTCCTTAGTTCTAGGTTGCTTCTCTCTTTGGTTAGTTTCCACCTGTTGCTTCTTGTCCTGCCTTCAGGCGCTTTGGAGAATAGCTTGACTCCCTCTTCTTTGTGGCAGCCCCTGAGATATTGGAACACTGCTATCATGTCCCCCCTCATCCTTCTCTTCATTAAACTAGACATACCCAATTCCAGCCACTGTTCCTTATATGTTTTAGCCTCCAGTCCCCTAATCATCTTTGTTGCTCTTCTCTGTACTCTTTCTAGAGTCTCAGCATCTTTTTTATATCGTGGTGACCAAAACTGGATGCAGTATTCCAAGTGTGGCCTTACTAAGGCATTGTAAAGTGGTATTAATACTTCACGTGATCTTGATTCTATGCCCAGGCTGAGGAAGCCTGTTCTAATCCAAATCCTTATTGTCTCTGGTTAATCTCATTCTCTTTTTCACTCCAGCTTCAAGACCACTGAAAAAATATTCTCCGATGTGCCAACATTTAGCTAAATTTGAGCTATATTAAACCCCGAAAAGAAGTCCCAGTGAATGCTACAGGACATACTTCTGAGTAACTACATGTAGGATTTTGCTAGCCAGCATACAAGCAGCATACAAGTAGCATACAAGCAATGACATCACCACTATTCTGCTAATCATAATAACACAGAATAGGAAGCTTTTTTATGTGCTGGTGTCCTGCCCACTGCAGCTGTGGAAAATCAGGTATTTTAACAGCAACTGGTTTCTTTATTATCTCATTGGCTCAAATCCTATACCAGTGGTGACGAACCTATGGCACGGGTGCCAGAGGCGGCACTCAGAGCCCTCTCTGTGGGCACGCACGCCGTCGCCCCAGTCCTAGGCCTTCAGCTGGGTTTTATAAAACCTTTTCACTTTTGGCCTCCGCCACCGTATACAAAAAAAAAAGGTTCAATCAATCAATCAATTTCAACTTCTCGCGGGGAAAAAAAAGGTCTTGCAAAGTTGGAATTGATTGATTGAACTTTTTAGTCCCACCCAGTCTGCTGTTACCACCGCAGCCACGCCCACCCAATGGGCCACACCCACCCAATGGGCCACACCCACCCAATGGGCCACACCCACCCGGCACCCGACGATGCATAAGTGGGTTTTGGGTTGCAGTTTGGGCACTCAGTCTCTAAAAGGTTCGCCATCACTGTCCTATACCTTGAAAACCAATTTGCTCCCTCATTTGTAGCACCCGTTTCAAGGACTCAAACTGGGATCTAATGCCTAATTAATTCCAGGGTGATGTGTGTCCTGCCTAGATGCAGAAAATTAATATTTTTCAAGGGAATGCTGTAGCACAGGGCTCTCCAAACTTGGCCACTTGTGGATTTCAACTCCCAAAATTTCCTAGGCAGCATAAGGAATTCTGGGAATTGAAGTCCACAAGTCTTAAAGTGGCCAAATTTGGAGACACCCCCCCCCCTGCGTGTAGCCGATTTTATATTTCAGGGCCATATTGTCACTTTGAGGTCACTCAAATGGGAAACACACACACCTATTCTAGGAATGCTACTTTTGTATTGTAGGATATAAGAACAGAAAGCCTCTTGGGGGTTTTCCTGTGCCTCCCCCCCTCTTATATCAAATACGATCAAGACTGGGTTATTCTGAGTTTCTCACTTTTCCCACTTTCCCAGGACTGAGTAGTCCTCAACTGAACAACTGAAATTGAGCCTAAAACTATGATTGTGTCAGCTGTTAAACAGGTCATCCTGTGACCGTGCCTGATTTTGCAACCTTCTTTGTGGCGGTTGTTGTGAACCCATTGTTCACCCTGGGCATTTTTTGCAGGAGATCAGAAGTAAAGACCAGTTTCTGGCCAAAAATACCATAAATTGCATTCCTGTGAATGGAATGCTGCAAAGAGCCATAAATGCAGACCGGTTGCCAAGAACAAAAAAAATATGATGGTGTGGCTGTGGGGGAGAAGGGCAGCCATTGCAATTTCAAATCTGGGCCGTAAGTACCTTTTTGGGGGGCCATCGTAACTTTCAATGGTTACTAAGCAACCAGTTGTGAAACTGAGGATTAATCTGTAATCTTTTCTCCTCCTTTAAGAGTTTCATTGGTCTCTTCCCCAAGGTCATCTCTGCCTTCCTTTAACAGAGTAACCAAATAACAGAGTTGGAAGGGACCTTGGAGGTCTTCTAGTCCAGCCCCCTGCTCAAGCAGGAGACCCTATACGATTTCTGACAAATGGCTGTCGAATCTCTTCTTAAAATAATGAAGAGAAGGGCGAGGGGGGACATGATAGCAGTGTTCCAATATCTCAGGGGCTGCCACAAAGAAGAGGGAGTCAAGCTATTCTCCAAAGCACCTGAAGGCAGAACAAGAAGCAACGGATGGAAACTAATCAAGGAGAGAAGCAACCTAGAACTAAGGAGAAACTTCCTGACAGTTAGAACAATTAACCAGTGGAACAACCTGCCTCCAGAAGCAGCGAATGCTCCAACACTGGAAGTTTTTAAGAAGAGACTGGACAGCCATATAGGGTTTCCTGCCTGAGCAGGGGGTTGAACTAGATGACCTCCAAGGTCCCTTCCAACTACTACTACTACTACTACTACTACTACTACTACTACTACTACTACTACTACTACTACTTATTATTATTATTATTATTATTATTATTATTATTATTATTATTATTATTATTATTATTATTATTATTATTATTATATACTGGAATACTGCATCCAGTTTTGGTCGCCACACTACAAAAGAGATGTTGAGATTTTAGAAAACGAGCAAAGAAGAACAATTAAGATGATTAAGAGACAAAAACATATGAAGAACGGTTGCAGGAATTGGGTTTGGCCAGTCTAGAGAAAAGAAGGACTAGGGGTGACATGATAGCAGTATTCCAGTATTTGAGGAGCTGCCACAAAGAAGAGGGGGTCAACTTATTTTTTCCAAAACACCAAAAGGCAGGACAAGAAACAATGGATGGAAACTAATCAAGGAGAGAAGCAACTTGGAATTAAGGAGAAACTTCCTAACAGGGAGATCTATTAACCAGTGGAACAGCTTTGCCTTCAGATGTTGTGGGAGCTTCATCACAGGAGGTTTTTAAGAAGAAACTGGACAGCCAACTGTCTAAAATGGTATAGACAAGTCTCCTGCTTGAGGCTGGACTAGAAGACCTCCAAGGTCCCTTCCAGCTCTATTCTATAATAACTATATAATAAAAACCTCCAGTGTTGGAGCAGCCACAACTTCTGAAGGCAAAGCTGTTCTACTGGTTAATTGTTCTCACTGTCAGGAAATTTCTCCTTAATTCTAGGTTGGTTCTCTCCTTGGTTCATTTCCATCCATTGCCTTTTCACACTGCAAGCTCTCGGTCGTCGTAATACCCACCTTTGGTGCCGAGCAGAGGGACCGCCTGGCCGGTGGGAAGCAGACGACAGCTCTTGCCATCTGGCTCCAGGGCGTACCCAGCCCGACACTGGCACTTGTAGCTGCCAGCAGTGTTAAGACAGTCTTGTGCGCAGCGAGCAAGCGGCGTGACACACTCGTCCACATCTAAACAAACCGAAGCCACAAATTAAAAAGTGATCAGAACAGTGAGTTTTGATTGGAATATCCATATCTGGTCAAATCTTGGCTAAATCTTTGCCTCTGGAACGATATCCTTCCTGATACATGCACCATTCTGACCAAGAGTGGTAACCATTGTATTTGGCTAGAGGCCCTGCAGGGTTAGACAACCTTGGCCCTTTTATGACTTGTGGACTTCAACTCCCAGAATTCCTGAGTCAGCATGGCTGGTTGAGGAATTCTGTGTATTGAAGTCAACAAGTCATAAAGGAACCAAGGTTGCCTACCCCTGGCTACGGCATTAAGGGGCCTTCACCAGATACACCCCCCCATCCCTAGAATGCCCTTGTTTTAACAACTGTACTGTTTTTAACCCTTGTTACAGGCAGTCCTCGACTTAGTGACCGTTCGAAGTTACACCGAAGAAAAGTGACAACCATTTTTCACACCACCATTGCAGCCTCCCCAGGGTCACATGATCAAAATTCGGAACCTTGGCAACTGACTCACATTTATAACGGTCGCAGTGTCCCGGGGGTCCTGTGATCCCCTCTCTTGCGACTTTCTGACAAGCAAAGTGAATGGGGAAGCCGGATTCACTTCACAGCCATGTGACTAACTTTAACAACTGTGGCAAGAAAGATCATAAAAGAGGGCAAAAGCAATAATTGTCTTGTTTAGCAACAGAAACGGGCTCAATTCTAGACATAAGTCGAGGACTACCTGTAATTATCCAGAAACATAGACAAGTAGTGGCTTGAAAAATGTAACTGATTGAAAAGAAAACACTTCATAATATCTGTTTTGACTGCAGGAAAAAAAAAAACCTTGTTGTGATGGGTAAAGAGTTTGTATGTCATTACTCAAACAAAAACCACTTGTGGGAAGAATCCAGAGAAAGAAATATTTTGGAAAATATTAAAAAGACAGAATATATTTCCCCAAAGTATTTTAAAGGCAGAAACCAACACACACACACCCAAGTCTCTCCACCCCAGACAGAAACCAGGTCTGCAGAAATGCAGATGTGATAATCTTGTCAGAAAGATTGGAGTCAGGAAGCTGGGATTAGAAAGAAAGATCCGTAGAATCAAGAATCCCTCACACCAAATAATCCAACAGCCATCAGCCACAGCCCCAGGGAAGCAGGATATGACCTTTGGGACATAATAGGATTAGCCCACCACCATCAGAATACCACAAGGGCACACTCAAACTCAGGTCAAAGTACATGACACAGGAAATACAAAGCCTCAAACAGGATCAGGAAACAACCTCAAGAGCCCCAGAAGGTATAAAAGCCCATGTGATCTCTTTTTCTAGAGCCATCTTTCTGTCTGTCTCTCCTTTTCAATAAGCTACAACCTTCTTTCTAAAGCAGTCTCCACGTTGTCTATTCCCGGCTTGGACTGGACCCTGATGAAGTTTTTTCCTTCAACACACTTTTATTCAATTTGGGGTAATTTACCCTGGTTGGGGAAGCACTGCATTAAGGACTGTAGTCGAGCCATCTTGATCCCTTCTATGCACACTGGTTGTATTTTCCAATCACAAACCCTCAACCCTCATAAGGACTAGAAACCTTTTTTATGTTTTAATCCAGTGCTCACTTGTCAGATTTTTGCCCACATGAAACTAGAAACCCTGCCTATCAGCCTGGTATGAGAAGGAGACCCAGAAAAATCTGAGCAAAGAGAAGAAGCAGGACCAGAAACCAAACACACACACACACACCGACTCCTGCCTTCCACTCACCAATCTGGCAATACAGTCCACCCCAGCCGGGCGGACACTGGCACTTATTTGGTTGGATGCAGCTACCTCCATTCTGGCATGACTTGTGGCAAGTGGCTGGTGGGAGAAAGGAGAGGGGAAGGCTCACCGCGTGTATCCACACTTTTAGTGCACCAAGCATATTCATTAGTCTCAAAAGAGATGTTGCTTTGTGTTCCTATGTGGAGAGATGCTGCAGTACAGATAATCCTTGATTTATGACCCCAATGGAGCCCGACATTTGCGTTGCTAAGCTTAATCAAGGAACTGACAAGAAAACCCTCAGCCGTTCTCTTCTAGCACGGATGGCGTTACCTAGTTTGGATAACGAAACGTCTGCAAGAAAACAACCAGGCTCAGAGAGCACCAAGGACCCCCGATTTCAACCAGGAGCTACAAATATTCTCTTTTTATTTAGCTGGGCGTACCCACTGTTGAAAGCTTGGATAGCTCCGATCAGCCAGCACAGAAGGGGTGTCTTTCTTCCTCCCTAATGGTACATTGGAAATTGTTCTTTTGTGTTTTTAAGTGTATTTACTTCGTTTTATCATAAAAGGTAAAATGCAAACCAGAAAAGTAAACAAACAAAACAAAACAAAAAGATACGTCCTGTGTTAACAACAACGATAACAACAAAATTGGTGTACAAAAAAAGAGAAAAACGGTGATCCAAATACCAAAAAAAAATTTAAAATTTAACATACAGTATAGAATCCGCCCTGGCTAGATGCTGAAAAAAAGAAAAAGCAATAAATTCTCCCCTTTTACATACAAGAAGAAAGAACAGTCAACAGGTTAAGCCAAGGTTGCCTAACCCTGGCGTTAAGCTAAACATTCCACTAATCTTCAAATCCCTCTGTTAACCATCTCTTGTTGTATTTAGCACCTAGAAAGTCCACTGGAAATTGTTCTCTGGGATTTGATCGCTCACCTTCCTCGCACTTCGTGTCCCCCAGGTGACGTTTCTTCCATCCTGGGCAGCAAATGATGTTGGCCTGTAGGATCTCTTTCCGCACCTGTCGTGTGGCTATCCGGTAGGTCGTCCTACGGAAGAGAAGCCATGTTCATTCTCCTGAGCAGAATAGACAGAGCCATAGCAACAGCACTTAGACTTATATACCGCTTCACAGCTCTCTCTAAAGCGGTTTACAGAGTCAGCATATTGCTCCCCGAACAATCTGGGTCCTCATTTTATTGACTTGATGGAAAGATGGAGTTCGGTCAGGATCGAATTCCTGGCAGTCAGCAGAGTTTGCCTGCAATGCTGCATTCTAACCAGTGCGCCACCACAGCTCCTAAGCTTTTTCACACTTACGACCTTTGCAGCACGCCCTCAGTCACATGATCAAAATTCAAATGCTTGGCAACTGCTTCCTATTGATGATGTTTGCAGCATCCCTGGGCCACGTGATCCCCTATGGCAGGGGTAGGCAACCTTGGCTCTTTTATGACTCGTGGACTTCAACTCCCAGAATTCCTGAGCCAGCATGGCTCAGCTTGGAAACCTCTCCCTTTCCCCTCAGCATGGCTGGCTCAGGAATTCTGGGAGTTGAAGTCCACGAGTCATAAAAGAGACAAGGTTGCCTACCCCTGCCCTATGGTGACCTTCTGAACAAGCGAAGTCAATGGGGAAGCCAGAGGCACTCAGCAACCGGGTCACCAAGTTAACAACTGCAGTGATTCACTGAACAACTGTGGCAAGAAAGGTCGTACGATGGGGCAAAGTTCACTTCACAGCTGTCTCACTTTGCCACAGTATGGGCTCAACTGTGATCGTAAGTCAGGGACTCCCTGTATGTCTCTAAAAAGATAATATTTGAAAAAGAGGCTGCAATTATTATGTCAGACACAAAACAGCAACAGAGCTTGCTTGATAAGACTGCCTTCCTTGGCAATCTGAAACAGGCCCTGCACACTCCAAAACGTCTTTTCACTTCAGATCCAAAATGTTGCACAGTCCTTGCATGCCATTGGGTACTGCTTTAGACTGCTCCCTCTTGAAACACCTGAAACCCATTTATAATTGGAAATATTACTTGGGAACGGTAGACGACAAACGCCTAGACTTGACAAGCATTGGGGGAGTTGATCTAAAAATAAAATTGCATTAAATAGGAATGCCGCGTTGTCATTCTCCCTCTCCTCGGCCACAGATTTAGGACTCGCAAATCCTTCTGGCTCTTTGTCAGACCAAAACTTTGATCATTCATACCTGTAAGTACTGCACACTCGAGGTCCTGGGCACAACGTCAAATATGGATGGTGTTGGGGCTTGGCGTACGTCTCATTGTAGGCTAGGGGGATCCTCAACGTATTTCGGGCACACACATGGCTGTGGGTGGAAATGGAAGGAAACTGAAAAAGCAAAATTGTCTCCTCTAATCCATACAGAATTGATCAGAAAAAGCCTAGAGTAGCAGGAGTTGGTTTTATCCTTGGCTAATTTCTGTTATGCAACCAGTCTGATATAGCGGTGAAGGCACAGGCCTAGAAACCAGGAAACTCTGAGACTGTGAGTTCTAGTCCTGCCTTGGGCACAATGCCAGCTGGGTGACCTTGGGCCAGTCAGTCCTTCTTAGCCCTAGGACAGGGGTAGGCAACCTTGGCTCTTTTATGACTTGTGGACTTCAACTACCAGAATTCCTGAGCCAACCATGCTGAGAAGAAAGGAAGAGGTTTCCAAGCTGAGCCATGCTGGCTCAGGAATTCTGGGAGTTGAAGTCCATGAGTCATAAAAGAGCCAAGGTTGCCTACCCCTGCCCTAGGAAGGAGGAGGCATGGGCATACCACTTAATGAAACCTTACCAAGAAAACCGCAGGGACTGGTGCACACAATCTCCAGAGTCAACCTAGAAACAAACAAAACTCACCCACCCTCTCCTCTAAATTCTCTCCCTGTAGCAATTCATCTTCTGTTTCCCACATCAGCAGGATAAGGGGGACACTGAACCCAGGGGAGTGGTTTGGAGCAGAGGAAAACAGGTACAGAAAGAGGAATAAAGTTTGCCATAAAAAAAGACGGGATCAACCTATTCTCCAAAGCGCCTGAAGGCAGGTCAAGAAGCAACGGATGGTGGCCAATCAAGGAGAGAAGCAACCTAGAACTAAGGAGAAACTTCCTGACAGAACAATTAATCAGTGGAACGACTTGCCTCCAGAAGTTGTAGGTGCTCCAACACTGGACGTTTTTAAGAAGAGACTGGACAGCCATTTGTCTGAAATGGTAGGGATTCCTGCTTGAGCAGGGGGTGGGACTAGAACAGGGGTAGGCAACCTTGGCTCTTTTATGACTCATGGACTTCAACTTTCTGCTGGCTCAGGAATTCTGGGAGTTGAAGTCCATGAGTCATAAAAGAGCCAAGGTTGTCTATCCCTGGACTAGAAGATCTCCAAGGTTCCTTCTAACTCTGTTATTTTGTTATATCTCCCATTCCTCTATCATGAGTCTTTTTCCAATGGGGCCTCAAAGGTGCTTTTTGAAAAGGCAAGTGGACTGTTTTTTTCCCTTGAAGATGTTTCGCTTCTAACCCACAAAGCTTCTCAGTTCTGACTGGATGGTTGGGGGGGGGGAATGGAAGGATCCTCCCCCCCCACCATCATACCTGTGTGCAGCACTTACAGGTATAATCCTTCCATTTCCCCCCATCACCACCATCTAGATCAGTGGTGGTGAACCTATGGCACGGGTGCCAGAGGCGGCACTCAGAGCCCTCTCTGTGGGCACGCGCGCCGTCACCCCAGTCCTAGGCCCTCAGCTGGGTTTTATAAAACCTTTTCGCTTTAGGTCTCCGCTGCTGTGTGCAAAAAAAAAAAAAGGTTCAATCAATCAGTCAATTTCAACTTCTCGCGGGGAAAAAAAAGATATTGCAAAGTTGGAATTGATTGATTGAACTTTTTAGTCCCACCCAGTCTGCCGTTACCACCACAGCCACACCCACCCAATGGGCCACACCCAGCCAATGGGCCGCACCCACCCAGCATTCGACGATGCATAAGTGGGTTTTGGGTTGCAGTTTGGGCACTCGGTCTTTAAAAGGTTCACCATCACTGATCTAGATTGAACTGAAGAAGCTTCTTGGATGAGAAGCGAAATGACTTCAAGGAAAACCAGAGAAAATCCAGTTGCCTTTTGAAAAAGCACCTTTGAGACAGCCATGACGTGGTTGACTGAGAACATTTTTCCAATGGTGGTTAAATCCACGGGTCCATAATAGAATAATACTGAATAACAGCATTGGAAGGGACCCTGGAGGTCTTCTAGTCCAACCCCTTGCTCAGGCAGGAAAACCTGTGCCATTCTAGACAAATGGCTGTCTCGTCTTGACAACCTCCGGTGGCATGAAGCCCCTTTGCTCTGGCAGGTAAGAGTCAATGATATCTCGAGAAATTGTGGTTGAATCTGAGAAAGGTTTTGCATAATAGTAATAATAGTAATAGTAATAGTAATAGTAATAGTAGTAATAATAATAATAATAATAATAATAATAATAATAATAATAATAATAATAATAATAATAATAATAATAAAAATAAAAAGTTGGAAGGGACCTTGGAGGTCATCGAGTCCAATCCCCTACTCAGGCAGGAAACCCTATACCATTTCAGACAAATGGCTGTCCAGTCTCTTCTTAAAAACCTCCAGTGCTGAAACATCCACAATCTCTGGAGGCAGGTTGTTCCACTGGTTAATTGTTCTGTCAGGAAGTTTCTCCTTAGTTCTAGGTTGCTTCTCTCCTTGATTAGTTTCCATCCATTGCTTCTTGTCCTGCCTTCAGGCGTATTGTTCTTCTGATCGTATTCAGTCCAACAGTTTTAAAAGGTCCAGTTCATAGGTAGATGAGGTAAATAGAAAATACAGTACTTCTAAATGTGTCTGGAGATTCTCAGTCATCCAGGTCATGGTTGTCCCAAAGGTGCTTTTTTTCAGGAGGCAACTGGACTTCCTTATTTTTCTTTGAAGACGTTTCACCAAGAAGCTTCTTCAGCCCTGACTGGATCCTTCCATTTCCCCAACACCCAGTCAGAGCCGAAGAAGCTTCTTGGATGAGAAGCGAAACGTCTTCAAAGGAAAACAAGAAATCCAGTTGCCTCCTGAAAAAGCACCTTTGGGACAGTACTTCGATTTGCCGCATATGAAATAAAGCTGAATAGAAATGATTATTTACTACACATAATGTTTATCAAAGTCTCTTGAAGAGGAAAAAAAAATCCGTTTTCAGCTTTAGGCAAACCAACTGTCTCAATCTGAGGTGTTCTTTTTTTAATATCCAGTTGCTTTGATTCAACTTTTTCATAGCAATTTGCAATTTATGTACTTCCAACTACTTCTGTTTTGATAAACCCATAACAAAGAAATAAATATTACTGTTACTCTATGAGCATCAGATGTGCTCATATGAAGACAAATTAGTAGTCGTGGGCAATAGTCAACAGAGAACTAACATTTTTTTCAAGCAGATTTTTTTTTCTACCTTTAAATAGTTGCCTGCTGGGGAGCAAATAATAATAATAATAATAATAATAATAATAATAATAATAATAATAATAATAATAATAATAATAATAATAATAATAATAATAANAGTGTTGGAGCATTTACAACTTCTGGAGGCAGGTTGTTCCACTGGTTAATTGTTCTGTCAGGAAGTTTCTCCTTAGTTCTAGGTTGCTTCTCTCCTTGATTAGTTTCCATCCATTGCTTCTTGTCTGCCCTAAGCCGCTTTGGAAAATAGCTTGACTCCCAGTTTCCATGGGTATCATTACCCCAGGTAGTCCTTGACTTACAACAGTTCATTTAGTGACCGTTCAATGTTACAATAGCACTGAAAAAAGTGACTTATGACCATTTTTCACACTTACGACCTTTGCAGCATCCCCATGGTCCCGTGAACAAAATTCAGATGCTTGGCAACCGACTCATATTTATGACGGTTACCGTGTCCCTTCTGACAAGCAAAGTCAATGGGGGAAGCCAGATTCACTTAACAATCATGTTACTAATTTAACAACTTCAGCGATTCACTTAACAGCTGTGGCAAAAAAGGTCGTAAAATGGGGCAAAGTTTACTTAACAAATAATTTTGGGCTCAATCATGGTCGTAAGTCGAGGATTATCCGGGTTTCTGAGAAAAGGTCTATCTAGGGAGGCCACCAAGAGCTGACACTGATTTGATGGCACAGAATCAAATCATTAATTTTAAAAATTACCACTATTATGAGAGCCGTAAGGGTGTACAGCGTTGGTCCAAGTTGCTAGATTGAACAGTGGCGGTTTGTGAATTCAAGTCCTGCCTTAGGCACAAAGTCACCTGACTGACTTAGGGCCAGTCACTCTTTCAACTGGAGGAAGAAGGCAAGGGCAAACCACTTTCAAAAAAACTTTCCAAGAACACAATCCATGGATTGTAATATTAACAATGATCACTACTACAGGTAGTCCTCAAGTTATGACCGTAATGGACCCATCAAGGTCGTAACTCATGACAATTGTAAAGCAGACAAATAACTGACCTGATTTTATGACCTTTTTTTGCGATGGTCGCAATGCAAATCACCCCGGTCGTTAAGCAAACAACGCAGTCCTTAAGCAGACTAATGGTTTGCTCTGGGTGTGAATTTGCCAAAATCAGAAGTAAAAGCCAATTTTTGTCAAAACTGTCGTCAAACATGATTACGTCACTGTCGGACACTGCAAATAGCCGTAAACGGAGGCTGGTGGCTGTGCACCCGAAGTGTGAGCACATGACTGCAGGCGGGGTTAGTCATAAGAACTTCAAATCTGGGTTTTAAGTAACCTCCAGCTAGGTCCATCAGAAGTTCAAATATCTGCATAATTTGAGGACTACCTATATTCAAAAAGCTGCAGAATTTAGCAAGAGCTGCGCCACGCGAAGAAAAAAGAACAACTAGGAATTATCAGTAGTTCTCCTAGTTGATGAATCTTTTTTAAAAAATAAAATAAAATAAACAGCCGCAATCCTCAGGATATTCTTGTGGCAATGAGTTCCACAGATACCGCACTAGTTCCTGTCAAAAGCACGGGACTTCCTTTTTTTTTTTTTTTTTTTTTGCATCTTATTTATTTATTTATTTATTTATTAATTGTATTTATATCCCGCCCTTCTCCTTTCGGACTCAGGGCGGCTGACAAATGATAAAAAGCTAACATATTACACCTAATTTAAAATTTGATTAAAATGAAATATTTAAGAATGTCAAATTTAAAAGTAATTAAAACCCCTATAAAATCCCCTAGGCCAGTCCCGCTTGCTGG